ATTACAATTAATTAAAAAAAACAAAAAAAATTGCTTAACGTCGAATATTAACAAAATTCGATGTTAATTTGATTAACCTCGAATTTTTTAAATTTGACATCAATTTAACGTCTCCCGATATGACGTCGACCTTAAATTCGACGTAAAAGGCCAAAAAACAACGACGTTTTACAATATTTTTGTACTAGTGATTGAAATGAAGAAACTACGTGAAAATTTCCAACACTGAAGTAGTAGGTAACTATTTCAAACGACATGGGTAACCATGTCTTTCTTGTAGGAATTTCGCTCATAGGAAGTGAAGTTGGATTGAACAAATGGAACAGGGGAATATGGAAGTGATTGAAAAAGCAATGGAAATTTTTATGATGAAGATTGAAGTAGTAGTTAATCCTTTAAGAGGAAAGGTGTAACGAGTTATTCCTTGAAATCATTTTTCCTCATACCCACTTGATATCCTCCAAGGAAGGGAAAATGGATTATTGAAATGAAAAAAAGTATGCAACTCAAAATGTCCATCGACTGAAAATGTGTGAGATGATCTCAGTATGTGGAGAAATGGGTGTAGGAAGATTGGGATTAAGACTTGGAATGACAGAGACGGGTGTAGGAGGATTAGGATCAAGACTTGGAATGATAGAGACAAGGAAGCTATTTGACTCAACTACTAGAATAGGAAGGACCTGTTAGAGGATAGAAACATCATGAATAGATGGAGAGAAGTAAGGAGTCTGTTCAAAGAATGTGACATTGGAAGAGATGTAATACTTCTTAGTTTCAGGAGAGTAACACTGATATCCTTTTTGCAGTCGAGAATAGCCTAAGAAGACACATTTGAGAGTGTGAGCGGAGAGTTTGTCTAGACTTGGGGAGATGTATGAAAGAGAGGATCATTAGGAAACAAAATGGAGAAATGAACTTTATTATCAAGAGAGGATGAATGCATCCTATTAATTAGATAACATGTAGTTAAGATGACATCCCTCTAGTGATAGACAAGAATATGGTCACCAAGCAAAAGGGTACGGGCAGTTTCAACCAAATGTCTATTTTTTCGTTCTACTATACCATTTTGCTGCGATGTATGAGAACAAGTAGACTGATGTAAGATACCATGAGAACTCATTATGGCTAACAATGCAGGATGAGAAATACTCTTTGGCATTATCACTTCTTAAATTTTTGATGACTTGACCAAATTGATTCTTGATTTCATTCAAAAAGGATGTAAAGATGACTAACAATTCANACAGGATATATAGTTCTAAGGCAGCCAGGAAGAACTTCAAAAAATCCTGACAAACTGGTCATTGACTTGCACTTTTTAATGGTGTTCTTCAGCCTAGTGCAGACATCAGAATGTGGATCATGGACAAATGACCCAATACCCAAGTCCACTAGTTGAGGTGCTAGCATCAATATCCTTTGGAGTGCAGTGAGGGGCACGGTATGGTTTAACCTTAAGCTTTTAAGGTTAGGAGATCTGGCCACAAGTCTCTCAAGAGCCCCCAGATTAATCTCTCCTTTAAGGCAGGCAAAATTAAGAGATACAAGTGTTGTACAGCAATCAGGAAAGCAGTTTAGCCACTGCCCTCTGTGGTCAACTTCATTTTCCTGCAAATCCAGCTCCCTGAGGAACCTACATTTATAATAGAATTGAGGAGTGAAGACCACATGCCAGACTACACACAGGCCAATCAGAAGAATACATCTTCGAACAATGTTCAATGTTCATCTCTATCTCAGCTTTGCCATGTAAAATATAAGTATTCAAGGGAATGCAAGTATTTATTTCACCTAGAGGATGAACATAATCACAAAAATTCTGTTAAGAGATTCCACATTATTAAACATATAACAAAATTATAGTATATAAATAAATGTAAACCTCACTTCAAAAATCAATTTTATGAAATTTGAATTAGACTTAAATTTCACTTTTTTTAATATGATATCAGAACTATTGAATACCTGTCATAGTCAGATTTGTTGAAATTATTGTCACCTACAGCTTTCTCCTAGTTTCATGCTTGAGATGTTAAGTCCTTGGTGTGAAGAATTGTATTAAAAATCTCGTATTGACTATAAATATGACTAAATTATAATACATATCCACTGTAAATATGGCTAAATTATAATACATAAGTGTGGTCAATCTCATCTTAGAAGCCAATTTTGTGAAATTAAATTAAATTTAAAGTTTTCCTTCTTAAGAAATTCAAAATTGATAATTTAATGAACTTAAGCACAATAAAACACGAGACTCTTAACACCAACCTTTTAGCAAGCCATCATGTGACATATCACATGACTTATATGCAGAAAGACAGATCAATAATCTCGTATTGGATAGCAAACAATAGCCCAAACTGGTAACACATAATGCTCAAAGCAACTGAACTCCTTCTCTACAATCATTAGTCACATACAATGCAAGCCAAAAATTAGCTAATAAATCAAAACTTGGGTGACAAAATAAAAATTAGTAACTAGTTGTTTTCAATTAGTGCTCTTCCAACACTTAAACAAACCCACACGGAAACTAAAGCACGTGAACACATTGACAAGCAACACTCTAATATACACACAAATTCATGATGGTTTCATGAAAGCAGCAGCAAAATATGCAACACAGGTTACTCATCTTACCTACAATTTGCAGCTATAGTTGCGAGGCCAGTGGTGGTGAACCCTTCACAACTAATAAGAACCAGAGACTTGAAATTCATGAAAGAACGGGAAAGTAGATCCAAGCCCTCATCTGTAACCACCATCCTCTTCAGCCTAAGCTCCTCCAAATCAACCCTGCTCTTGACCAGTGCTTCAATCCAAGGATACACAAAACCACCCCAACCGTGAGGAACCAAATTAAAATCTGCAAAATGAGGTTTTCCCTTTAAATTTAAGGACTTTAGCTCAGGAAACCTTTCTATCACTCTCTCAGGACTAATGGAGTAACAATTCCCTATGAACACACTCTTCCTACTGCATCTCTCTAATTTGTGCCAGTTCTTGCACACCAGAGACAAGGCATTCCTGTCTCTCTGTGAAGTCACATAGCCAAATATTTGCTCAATCACCTCATCTGGAAAACAATTCATGTCTCCCTCTCTCTCTCTCTTTCTAAGGCTACGTAATCAATTTCCTCCAAGTCTACCAGAGAATCTTCACCCTCTTACAAAACGGTCAAAGAGAAAAACACTTGCAGAAAACCTAATTACTCGAAAATTTGAAGTTTCTATTTTCAATACATAACCATGATCTCACTATGGAACTCTTTTCAGTTTCCAAAAAAATACAAACCCCCACCCCAAAAAAAGTGGTTTGGACCTAAATAAGACTGATTATTAAAACAAAATAAAAACTTCAAATCCAAACAGTATTGACTCAAAAAAGAAAAAGGGAATGCACAGAAACGAAAACTTTTTACATTTCCCGGCAAGGATCAGAGGAAGGAGTACGAAAAGGCAGAAGCTTTCTTAGGAAAATAAGGAGAAAAAATGAAAAATAAAATGACGGGGAAAAAATAAAAACGGGAAATTATGGTCTACAAAACAAACGACGACGATTACCTGAGATAAAAAAAATGTTAAAAGGGAAATGTAAAAGAAAAGTGAATAGATTTGATAATCTAGAACAGTAATTGCAATTTTACTAGGTAGACCTAACAGTAACCGAAGCTTAGAAGAGGAAAAAAGAAGCAATCCATTTGATTTTTACTTGGTCACATTGTTCAAGTTGAAACTGAGTTAGCATCCTAAAACCCTATTGGTTGGGGCTGAAGACAACACAACCATGGTTACTGGAGCCAAACCACCTTAAATCGAGTCAGAAGGTCGAAGAGAGCGTAGAATCTAACGGCTGGCATCAGTTTTCACGATGGAATAGACTCTGATTTTAGCCGGCCGGAAAAATATTCCTTTGAAGAGAATTAGTCAAATATTTCTTTAAAAATATCTCTTTTTTTTAATTATAAAATGTTTTTAAGAATTCCCAGTGATAATTAAATTTTCAATCATTCGGCTGTCTTGATGTAAAAAGATGAGTACTATATTGACACCAACCAACGACAGTCATTTGACACAGTTGACGTGTCAATTATAATAATTTTTTAATAAAGTTTGGTTTGCATCAGGTTAAAAAGATATAGGTAATTGCGTGATGGTTGTGACTAATAATGTAACCACAATGACATGAATGTGTACCTATTACTTTTTCTACAAAATTTGTATTAGCTTTTTTCTATTAAATTTGATTTTGTAACTGAGGTTTTGTCTATGTTGTTTGTTCTTGTGTTTTCTTTTAATGTTTTGGATTTGTATGGCTTATAACCTTACTTTGGCATTTGGGATATGCCATGGTTTTGTAATTTATATTTGAAGTTTTTGGAAATGGTTTTAAGTTATGAATTTGGTGTATAAAATTTTGCAAGAGTCACCGAAATAGCTAGAACAGAAGTAATCGTCGAGTAAGTGTAGATGCTATTGTTTTAGTTGTTAAATTTAAGTTTATATGTAAAAATTGAAATTGTCTTGTAGTAAGATGTAAAGTGAATACTCATTACATAGTTAATTGTAAGAATTTGGTTGTGAGCATCACTTTATGTTTTCTTTAGCCCTACTAAGTGGAATGTAATGGATAATGTTTTTTCTATTGGACTTGAGTTTACTTCCTCAAACTAATGTTGAATGGTTTAGTACAAGGTTGATGGAGTAACTACTTTTTTGGTGTACGATTCAGTGACAGTCAAATATATAAATGATAAAACAATGGAAATTTGAATGAGGAAGTTTATTCTCTCATTGTTCACTAATGCAAAAACAGCGTATAACGTTACGTGTTTAACGTCCAATCATTAAATAGCCAACGTTAAAAATGATCGGTGGCATTTTTGTAAATAAATGCAATTGTAGAACGTCGACGCCCTATTTAATTCGACGTTCTACGATGATAATTATTTAAACTAGTGCGTCATTCTCTTTCTTCTTTCTTTTAAACCACCAATAGTACGTCGAATCCTCTAGGGGGTTCGACCTAATATTTCTCAGTAAGAAGCCAAAGAGTCACATTTTTTAATTCTTTTTTCTTTTTTCTTTTAAACAACAAATAATGCATCGAATTTTGTAAGGGCTTTAACGTATTATTTGTCAGCTAGAAGCCAAAAAGTAACCCCTTTTCAATTCTTTTTTTCTTTTTTCTTTTAAACCACATATAATACGTCTAATTTTGTAGGAGTTTCGACGTATTATTTGTCAGCCAAAAGTTTCCCCTTTTTAATTTGAGCGGGAGATTAAAAATTCATTCACTTTATCTTAGCGCGCGAGACCCTCTTCTCTTCTCAAACTTTTCTCGAACGAAGTTTGACGACCATCACATGTAATCTTTCTTTCATTTGATACAAATGCATGTTAATTAACTACTTTATGTATAATTTTCATTTATTTTGACCGATTATTTTCGTGTTCTTGTCCTTCATAGGCGCATTCCGTTTTCTCTCTCACTAGTGGAAACACTTTATTCCGACAAACCCACCTTTTGAAGGTTAGTTTTCGTTTTCGTTTTCGTTTTGAAGAACTTATTTGTTGAACTTGTTTGTTGTTGTTTTTTGTTGAACTTGTTTGTTATTGTTATTTGGTTGAACTTGTTTGTTGTTGTTGTTTGATTGAACTTGTTTGTTGTTTGTTATTGATACTATATTACACGTTCATAGTTCATGCTTTATAAAATACCAAAAACTGAAATTTGTTGTTTTTCTGCTTTTCAGGTCTCGTAGAGTTGTAAAAAAGTATTACAATTAATTAAAAAAAACAAAAAAAATTGCTTAACGTCGAATATTAACAAAATTCGATGTTAATTTGATTAACCTCGAATTTTTTAAATTTGACATCAATTTAACGTCTCCCGATATGACGTCGACCTTAAATTCGACGTAAAAGGCCAAAAAACAACGACGTTTTACAATATTTTTGTACTAGTGATTGAAATGAAGAAACTACGTGAAAATTTCCAACACTGAAGTAGTAGGTAACTATTTCAAACGGCATGGGTAACCATGTCTTTCTTGTAGGAATTTCGCTCATAGGAAGTGAAGTTGGATTGAACAAATGGAACAGGGGAATATGGAAGTGATTGAAAAAGCAATGGAAATTTTTATGATGAAGATTGAAGTAGTAGTTAATCCTTTAAGAGGAAAGGTGTAACGAGTTATTCCTTGAAATCATTTTTCCTCATACCCACTTGATATCCTCCAAGGAAGGGAAAATGGATTATTGAAATGAAAAAAAGTATGCAACTCAAAATGTCCATCGACTGAAAATGTGTGAGATGATCTCAGTATGTGGAGAAATGGGTGTAGGAAGATTGGGATTAAGACTTGGAATGACAGAGACGGGTGTAGGAGGATTAGGATCAAGACTTGGAATGATAGAGACAAGGAAGCTATTTGACTCAACTACTAGAATAGGAAGGACCTGTTAGAGGATAGAAACATCATGAATAGATGGAGAGAAGTAAGGAGTCTGTTCAAAGAATGTGACATTGGCAGAGATGTAATACTTCTTAGTTTCAGGAGAGTAACACTGATATCCTTTTTGCAGTCGAGAATAGCCTAAGAAGACACATTTGAGAGTGTGAGCGGAGAGTTTGTCTAGACTTGGGGAGATGTATGAAAGAGAGGATCATTAGGAAACAAAATGGAGAAATGAACTTTATTATCAAGAGAGGATGAATGCATCCTATTAATTAGATAACATGTAGTTAAGATGACATCCCTCTAGTGATAGACAAGAATATGGTCACCAAGCAAAAGGGTACGGGCAGTTTCAACCAAATGTCTATTTTTTCGTTCTACTATACCATTTTGCTGCGATGTATGAGAACAAGTAGACTGATGTAAGATACCATGAGAACTCATTATGGCTAACAATGCAGGATGAGAAATACTCTTTGGCATTATCACTTCTTAAATTTTTGATGACTTGACCAAATTGATTCTTGATTTCATTCAAAAAGGATGTAAAGATGACTAACAATTCATGTCGCAACCGGAATCGCGACGGGACGACGATCCGTGGAAAAATAAACGGTTTGAAAAAAGAGATTTTGGAGTCGCCACCATAGTTTATTCTGGAAAACTACGGAAAAACCATAAAATGATAAGGCATGGTCTGCGAAACTGAGATTCTTGGTTCGGGAGTCGGTTACGTGTAGGGAAGGTATTAGCACCCTACAACGCCTGCCCTAAGGCAGTACCTTTAACTAAATATGCGAATATGATGTGGTTTTCAAAATGTTTAACTTTCCCCTAAAATAAAATTCTAAAGAAACAAAATATTTTTTAGTTTTTTGGGCCCGACAAGGATTGACCTTGCTCCTACGTATTCTCATTAAGAATGAAAAATCAGGGTTCCGTAGTTCTTTAAAGTTTGTTTAAGGAATTGTTTGAGAATTTTGCTTGGAAAATGATTATGGATAAATTTGGATTTTTGGGAAAGTGAACCTGACAAGGACTGGCCTTGCTCCTACGTATCTCCACTTTTGATGGAGAATCAAGGATCACGTAGTTCTGGCTAGCAAGACTGTTTGTTGTTTGAAAAATAGATGTTTTTTAGTTTTTTGATGATTTTACATTTTTTTGGTATTTTTTTTTTATTTAGGAGAATGAAAAGGTTTTTAGCACAAGGACGATGCGTGCGATCACACATGTGCCTAAACCTTTAAAACATATTTTTTTGTGATTTTGTCAAATTTATTATTATTATTATTTTATTTACTTATTTTTGTGATTTTTGTTCATTATAAAAACAAGTGAGTGTGTGCAATGTTTGACAAATAAATAAGACAAATACAGTACAGAGGGATGGGGGTTATCATAAGGGGATTACGAAAGCAAGAACAAAAGAAAAGCCAGGAATAGAGGTACAGAGATAAAAACCAGTGTTGCGTGCGGAGTAAAATTGGAGCCCCCTTAGTTTTGGCCAAAATCCCTCTTTCCAACTTTTGTATCTGTCAGGGGTGCAAGAACGAAAATGGAGGTGCATCCTGAAATGTGTGAGCCCAATTGTCTCCTTTTTTTTTTTGTTTTTTTTTTTTGTTTTTAAAAGGGTTTGGATGGGTCAGAGTCCAGGAAAGGGATAGGGGTGCGCGGGTGAGAAAACAGGGTGTGACAAGCAGAAAAAGGTTATTATTATTTTTATTTTATTATTTTTTTTATTAAAAAAAAGGAAACCGGCCCAACAACCATGGGTTGTTTTTTAGAAGCATTTTACTTCCCATGATGAAGTCTGAATCTGGTGCACACCCATACCACAGTCTCTCTGATTCCGCCTTGCTTCCACCGCCTCCTACTTCACGTTTATCTTCCCCACTGAACCGGTCATCAAGAGCCGCGGCCTAGGGCGTCGCCGACGATGCCGTTCGTCGTCACCGGAATTGGCCGCCGCGAGTCGCGGCTTGAAGCATCGCCGCTCACCACCGGAATCGAGCCCCGCGTCACTGCCTCTTCGGACCAGCCGCCACGCCGTGCCTCGATCCGGCTACCCAGGGAGGGGTTTCACCTCCGCCGTACCTGCACACGGGCCGCCGCCTCCGCTGAAGTATCTTCTGTCTTTCCCCCAATATGCTTGGGTTTTCTCCTTTTGGTGGTTTGAATCTATTTAGGTGTTCTTTGCTGCCAGAGTGGAGAAAGATTTTGATTTTTGCAGTTAATGGTGTAGTCAATGATGGATGATGGGTGAAGATTGAAAAAGAAGAAGAAAGGTGCTGTCGTGAGGTCAAGTGTTGGAGGCGAAGGCCAGTGAGGAAGGAACAGGCTTGGTTGGGGTGGATGATGATTGTTGTTGGAGGTGAGGAGTTGGGAGTGAAAGGGAAGTTTGGTGATGTTTGAAGAGTAAGATG